TTAATTTCTCTATCGAGTAAAAGTTATATCGCGATACATATCGTTATATCGCCCAGCTCTAACACACACTAAACACTTCTGACTCACAGGGAAAACAATAAGTGACATAAGCAGAGGATTTAGAACTCGCTGCAGCTCTGCAGGACCAGGATGCGAACGTGATTCACAATTCTGATGCTAAAGAGGAAACGCTGTTAAGGTCTGTCACTTCCTTTCAGCTCACCTGCTCCAAGCCAAGCTTGTTTACACCTGTGCAGGTGAGCTGGCTGTCTGATGCTGTGGTTTAACACTAGAATCACCAACACCAGTGATGGCAACGACATCATTTCTGTTAATTTTCTTCTAAATTTAAGTAAAATTTGAAAAAAAAACAAAACAAAAAAAACCCCAAGTATTTAAGGTTAATTTTAGGGATTTTATTCGTTTTATAAATTTATATATATTTTCATTACAGATTTTAAAGTTCAAATACAAAAAAGAATAAACAGAGTACAACAAATAACATCTAACACATCTAAAAAATCCAACTATTACAGACGAACGTTATCAAAGTTCAATGTGTGTGCATGTGAGAGAGAGTGAGAAAGCGCGAGAGAGATCACCTGCACTGAGCTGTTGTCAAACATCTCCACAGTCATCTCCTCCTCTTCCACTTCTTCGTCGGGCAGCATCGCAAGGCTGAGCCCGCCCATCGCCAGCCCCCCTCCTTCCTCCTCGGCATCCAGCTCATCATGGAGGCTCGCCGAGTCGTAGTGCTGAAGGAAGATGGGTGCCCGGCTCGAGTTTCTCTGGATCTCAACCCGCAGGATGCCGTCACGGGGCCAGCGCTCCCTTACCACCTCTAGACAGTTGATGGGTGAGCGAGAGAAGGCAATGTGGATGTAGGCAAGGATGAAGAGGACGAAGAGTGCCTGAGGACGGGTTAGAGAGATGTCAGCGAGCGCTGGTTGTGTCACCGTAATCTCATTTCTGCATCAGTGAGTCTCTCACAGCAACCAGAGTTTATAAAATACGTCACCAATAAAATAAAAACTAGGGGTGCAACGATACACAAAATTCACGATTCGGTTTGATACTTTGGTGTCATGGTTCGATTTTTTTTTCCCCCATACAAAAAAAAATGTTCATGCCTTTTTAATTTGTCATTTATTAAAATTATAAATATATATTTTAACTCAAAAGTGCAGTTTTTAAATTTAATGTTGCTGAAACAACAAAATAATTAAAATATAAATAAATCTATCTGATCGAGAAATCTCAGCTTTGGAAAAGAGAGTTTATTACAGAGAAATGGCTCTTTCCAAAATAAAAGCTATACTATCCGCTTCTTCTGGGCTATATTCTCAGCAGCATATTAAACATACCAGGTCCCCATAAGGAGAATCATGTGCTAACGGCTGTCTAAATGACTCGGGTAAAGTTTGTAGCATGCGTGCTTGTTGTTTTTGTCTGCTTCCACTTGTCTTTGCACTAGGATGATGTCAGTGTAAATGTGCAGTGATATTCGTTGTGTTCCCACTAGTGCTGTCAGCGTTAATCTCGTTAAAATGACATTAACGCCATAACGCGGCAAATCTCCGTTAACGAGTTACCGCGGATCGCCCCGTGCGTGGGGCCGGACAGCGTTAGCACGTTAACAAGCTAACTGCGCTAACGCACTAGTTCCCACCAATTGAGCATTGCGTGGCACATCCGACATACTGTTTTACTTTTGTCCATGACGCGCTTACCATCAGGGTCATGCTTCACATGAAAACTAAGATAGTTCCAAACGCCAGATCTGAATAAGGGTGGGGGAGGTTCAGTTTCAGGTAGCGTTGAGGCAGTTGCCATGTTGCAACGAGCTTAGCTTCTGTCTTGCTAGCTTGTGCTGCGCTCATTGGATCTGCACTGACAGTGCAGCCTAGGCGGAGTAGTCGAATGCAGATCCACTGAGCGCTCAACACAGACAGCATCGTCAGAAGAAAAGTTGATAAAATAAATAAAATTTTTGTATTGTTCGATACATATGCGTACCGAACCGAAAGCACTGTATCGAATGGTTCAATATCGATACGAGTATCGTTGCACCCCTAATAAAAACAATAAAATGTACACATCAAAATCAATAAATGTCCTCTGATCAAAGAAAGTAAACATCTGGAACCTGTCTGCAGAGTCACCAAAGACCCTTCCTCTGTGGGTTAGCAATCGTTTCTGGTCTCTGTGTAAAGCAATTCTGCTGGCTCCTCACAGCTTCACCTACATCATTCGCAACATAAACCTGCCCACTGAGCATGCTCAAATGTCTGAGACAACGCTCTGTAAGGACACCGCTGACTCCACAGAGGAACCAGCTTGTATCGGGACCCTGTCCCCTACCTCTTTCACGCTACTAAAGGAACAGGCTGCTGGGAGACTTCCCATAATACTCTAAGGGTTTCTTCTCCACTTCCTGCCACCCCCAATCCACTTCCCTTGCTGAGCCTGGCTCTATTGTAGATAGAACTTCCTTCTAACAGGTTCTTCCTCTCCACTGTGCTGTTATATCACGTGCTGCTCAGATGTGGGTCATCTGATCGTCTAGGTTTCTTCTTCTGTATTGCAGACTTTAGGTTGCAGAATAAAAGCATGTAAATGAAGTTTAACTGAATTATTTGTGGAGAGGAGTCACCTGAAACATCTGTGATCACCTTAAACACCTGACCATTACCAATACTGTGACGTGTTCCTGAGATCACTATTCAGAAACAGACTGACTGATCAGTAATGTGATTACATCCTGCTGACAGGTGAGCTGTGCCCCACCTTGAGCAGAACGAAGAACTCAAAGACCCTCCTGAAGGACGGAGGGAATAGGCGTGCGTAGGTGACGGCCATCTTGAAGAAGAGCGCATGGAAGAGGCGGTCGCGGACATTGATGAGGGGGTTCTGGTTCAGGTTGGGATTGCGGAGGCGGTTGGGTCCCATGTTGTTGTTGTTGTTGTTAAGCGGGACATTATTGTTGTTCGCCTGGTTCTCCGACATGGCTGCGATTGCCCGTCGTTTCTGCTCGTGCTCAGAACTCACCACCGCCAATGACGACTCTAGGTCAACATGGCTGCTACTGCGTCCTCAGAGCGAAGGTCAAGACCTGAGTGCCGCACCTGGAACACAGATGAACTCACTGATGACTACAGTCAGGGGGCAGAGCCTCAACCACCTCTGAAAACAGATCATTAAGGGATTTAGGTTCTCAGCTCAGAGCTGCAAACAATCAGTCACCTTTATTCCGATCAATAACTTTACACTAAACACGAGTATTGATTAACATGGCTTGTTTAGATAAAGTCATCTCAGTAATCACCAATAACCGATCCAACCTTTCATCCAATCAGATGACATGAGATCAATAACCAGCAGGTATTTTTTTTTTAAATCAGATCACAGAAACCGAGACACTGATGATCTAATCTCTATGCTTTAGGAGCTGAACCTGCTTGACACCAAAAGCCATTAGAGGTGTCAGCATCTGACCAATCACAGTTAGTGTTCAGTGCGCTGTCAGCAGTGGCTGATTTTAGTACAGAGAAAGACTGAGCTGAAGAACTTAACCCCCACCTCCCCACGGCATTACTTTATTTTTTCTCAGCAGTGCAGAGTCTGTACCGAGTAAGGCTAGCAAAGAAAACTGATACCAAAAACTATCGATTACTTTCCTCTGCATCAATAACGGCAGCGTCAGCCTCAACTTCTCAAGCTGACACAGCTCCTCCCATCACTAGCAGCAGGTGGACAGTAGTAAACCTGGAGAAGCACCTCAGAGACTGTCAGTCCATCTTTAGGAGGAATTTCATGAATTCAGAGAATCTCCTATTTTATTAAACATTTACCTGCCTGCGACACGTTAGTGTTAGGATTAGCTCTTCCCCCATCCTAACTGTTATCATTAAGCTAGGAGATGACATTAAAGTGGGAGTGAGGCAGGAAACAGACAGGCTCAATTTAATGACCGCTAGGGATGAGAATTGTAAAGGTTCTTGTAAAAGGACCAGTTCCCAGTTGTCCAATTCCTTAGAATTCCAGGACCTATCGATTCCGCTTACGGATTCTTGTACTCACACTACGATCAGCTGATTTCAGTTCTTGTGTCAGAGGAAAACAGCAGCTCAGTCGTAATCGTAATTATGAGACATTGTGTTTCAGGTCATTTTAAGGAGTAACATGAAAGTAACGTAACGAGCAGTGTTGGGCAAGTTACTGTGAAAAAGTAATTATAGTTACTAGTTACTACTTCAAAAAAGTAACTGAGTTACAAGATTCTAAAAGTAATTAATTACTTGAAAAGTAACTATTGTGTTACTTTAAAAAAAAAAAAGTTTAACCCTCTGGAGTCCAGGGTATAATTGGCCATTTTTGACTACTTTTGATGTTTTCCCCTACATTTCACCTTTAAAAACTATTTACTTTGCCTTGTTTGGTATCATTCTTTTCAGCACAACCTCGTGTGTCTGAATTTACAGTTATGTTTTCATTTTGACATACTGTATTAACACAATTGAACACCGTGTATATATTGTTTATCATCACTCTGGTTTTACGTGGCCTATCAACACAATTTAAAACCTGGTATATATATCACCTTGTTGCTTTGTCATCTTAAAGTGGTCGTGTGATTGGCTTACCATGACTACTTTATTCTTCCACAGCCAAACAGCAGCACTCATGCGATTGTTTTGCCCCCTTAGCTCCAGGTATTATGCCAAAAAGTGATCGTCGGGAAGAAAGTGACTGCCGCCTGCGGGAGCGCGCACAGCTCCTTAAAGCTGTAGCACCCAGATTACTTAAAGCTACTTCCGTGCAACTGATATAAGGTGCGGTAAGATGAAGACAGCTTCAACCGTCTGTTTGTTGAAAAATAGTAATGCGACCGCACCGCATTTTCTTGTTAGTAACGGTGTTGTAACGATAGGAATAGTAATTACTTAGATTAGTCGTTACTGAAAAAAAAGTAACGCCAATACTTGTAACGCCTTTATTCCCATCACTGGTAACGAGTAATGTAATGAATGACCTTCTCCAGAGAGTAATTAAGTCACACATTACATAGCTTTTAAGGAAAGTATTCTGTGTAATATGAGTAATAGATTACTTTTCTTGAGTAATGACTCCAGCACTGATCATAACAAAGAAAGGATCATGGACAGTCAACATGGACAAACATGTGACCCACAGTGTGCAGTTAATGTGCATGACTAATGTCTTTGATATGGTGGAGACTCTCAAAGCACAGCCAATAAGGAATCAAATCAATAAGTAATATCAATAATGGAATCAGAATTGCTAAATTCTTATAAATGTTCATCCCTAGTAACAGCAATAGTAAATAGTGAATAAGCCCATCCTAAAAACACAAGCAGTGAAATGACAGTGACAGATCAGTAGGAAACACGAAGTAGCAGAACTGCACCTGAGTGTGCACGTCAGGATCGCTTCTTCATTTCATCTTCTCCCCTCCCAGCATCCAAAATCCGAGCTTCACATTGAGTCCGACCAGTATTTCTTACTACCGTGATTTCACGGGTAAAGGGGGCTGTTTTTAGAGGTTTAGATGTTTTCTGAGGGAACACTTTTAAATTCCTTCATGAAGGAAACTCCTGGAGCTCAGGTGAGCTCAGACTGATGATGATGATGGATAAGCTGTGGCAGCAGGTCAGGAGGTCTGCAAAACCCACATACTGAGATCATCAGGATCTTCTGCATCCTCCCGCTGCAGCCTGACAATCTCCAGGTGAGACACCACAGACCAGCTTATCCCCCCCCACCGGTACATGCAAATACTGATGACCTCAGGAAAAACATCTGAGACATGTGGTCCATCAGCATCGGGTCAGCTGACTCATGTCTCCATTAATCTCACCTGTGAGCCACACACCTGAGGCCGCTCTCAATGACAGGTGTGAGAGGCTGTTCTTAGTGCGGGAACCTCAGCAGCCGCCCCCTCCTGGACATCAGAGAGCATGCAGCTCTACATCTTTATTTACAGTCTGTGAGGTCTCAGGTAAAACAGGAAGTGGCGTTTAGTGACTTTTTGCCATGAAAACAGCAGGATTGGGACCATAGGGCCACCATAACAAGACTTTGAGGGTCTCAGGCTGCGACATGATCGTTTGCCAGGTGACCAGCTCAGGATTGCAGGGGACTCCTGGACATTGAAGAACATGCAGCTACCTGTGAGAGTGGGAGGAACCTCTGAGCTCAGTCTGATCCTCACTAACTTCCTGTCTGAATAAAGTTTAACGAAAATAAATAAAGTTTCTCACTGCTCCACTTGCTGCACCTCAGGACAGGTGATGTGATCAGCTGATCGTCAGCCCGGAAATGTGGTGTGTGTGTGTGTGTGTGTATATTCTGATCAGCTGATCCTGATTGGCAGGCTCAGGTGTGTGGTGCTGCTTCAAGCAGATGTCCCCCGCCCCGCCACCCCGCGTGTGTAATCCATAGACACCCTCACCAGCGGCAGGTGACGCTGACTCACCTGTGCGCGGCCTCGTCGTTGTTTCTCTCGCTTACCCACGAACGCCACAGTTAGCCGTTAGCAGCGCTAGCAGCAGGGTTAGCTCTGCGGCTAAAGGCGGAGTCCGGAGGCAGCCGGATCGGACAGAACCGGGAGCCGTCTCGATCCCAGCCGACAGGTGAAGGGACGGAGGGTCCGGGTGCACGGAACCGGAGCACGAGGTGAGCTCAGAACCCGGAAACTGTGGCTAAACTGCGGCTAACACAAGCTAACAGAGGGTAAGAGTCTGACTACTGTCAGCACGTCACTGAGACCGGAAATACACGTCCTAATACCGGAAGTAGTGAACCCCGGTTGCAGGTTCTTATATCCCTGAGCGCTGCCTGGCAGGCGCCTCGTGCTGGTCGGACGTTTATTAACGGTGAACAGCTGATATGTCACTGGTTACAGAGTCCAAAAACTGGGATTGAGCTGATGGAGGAGCCTCGGATGAGAAGGTGAGGGAAGAATCACAGAAGTAAGTTAAATGATGTGAGGCTGTGATCAGCTGACCTGCTGTTCTATGTGGATCTGAGACTTCACACTGAACAGCTGTTCTGCATCAGCCAATCACTGTAGAGTAACCAGCACTGAGCTGCGTGTACGGCGTGTTCTTCATATAACAGATCTAATGTCTGATTAAGACCTCTGAACAGCACATGGGAGCTTCTCTCAGAGACTCAGAGACCCTGAGTATGTGTAAATACAGCAGCTGGACTCTCAGACCTGATGTGTGGCAAACTGCACATACAGTTTGTGTTGCTCATATTTGCTGAGCTGACTAATTACCTCACACTTAAACATTACACAACTTCAGCTCCTGTCACACGTTTCTATATGTGAATGTTTCACTGGGACGAGATGAAGACGTGACGAAGCTGATGTCACACATCATCATTACTTAACAGGTGTCTCCATTGCTGTCACTGGAAGCTAACTGATCGACTGGTTCACACATATTACAATGTAATCAGATTTAACCGTTCATTAACTGAAGGTGTTGGGTTGTTCCCACCCACTTTGACAAGGTGAACTCTGCCCATCAGGATGGAGGTCGCTCCATCAAGCAGAACAATAAAACATCTTCATACTTCATACTTTAGCTGATTGAGCAGGTGGGGGAACCCTAGGATCTGTGTGGGGAAAATACTCCACTCACAATCATTTCTATTGACAGCTCCAACAGATTTTCTTAGTGTTTGAATTGTTTTACATTTATTGATTTAAAAGTGACAGTGTGTATTAATGAACATATATCAATGCAAATATACCATATTTAGCCAAAGCTACTTTCATCTGTAGTCCCTGACAGGTCAGACAAAAACTATAAATAAGAAATTTAGCACACCTTCAGACAAAGTACAACAAAGTAGCGCTAACAACAAATCCGTAAAGTTATGTACAGGCTGTGATCAGCTGACTGGCTGCTCTTTGTGGATTTACACACCTGAATTCAACCAGATGTGAGCAGATGTTTTGCAGCTGTCTCGGCTGATTTCTACATTAACAGTATACTGAATGCCGTCTTAATACCAGACAGTATAAAGTTGGTATAACAATTGAATTCAGTGAACGAATCTAAACATCATCATCCTAAATGTAAATTAATTTCTATTGCTGAACACTGACCACCACAGCACCACAGCAAAGTGCTTTACTGTGAATTCACCACAGTACTGCAAAGTAACCTGTTTATCCTACACAAAACTCCCCAGAATTGTCAGACAATATTTGAATAACACAAAATTAGTATACTTAGTTTGTTTTGCAGGAAGTTTCACTAAATGAAAATACATAATTTATAAAAACACATCAAAAACAATATGTGATTAAACACAAGGACTTGCATGTAAGCTTTATATGAGCAGTCCTTTTCTTTAAATCTAACCTCTCTTTCTCCTCTCCTCTGTCTTTTTTTTTCTTATCTTTCTCCATCTCTGAGTGAAGTTAGCTTTCTTTTCTCTCCCTGTGAGATACAGAAGCTGGACCTTTAACTAGCAACATAGCTCAGAGTTTGAAAGCATGGATCTATCCATTAGTGCCCAGGCTGCTGCTGCTGGTGATGGTGTGAGGGCCACGCTCCATCATCTCGAACCAGTCTGTTAAACATGATGATGAGTTAGCCGCACTGCCATAGTCACCAAACTCAGTCCAATAGAGCACTTTCAGGATGTGATGAAGTGGAAATTCCCATCATAGGTGTAACAGCTGTGTGATGATGATGTCATGTCAACATGGACCAAAATCTGTGAGGAACATTTCCAGCAGCTTCTTGAATCTGAGCCAATCTGAGTTAATCTGAGTTAAAGCAGCTCTGAAGGAAAAAAAAGAGTCCAACCTGGTACTAGCGAGGTGTACTGATGCCTGGTCTCTCTTGGAAATGAGATTTTTAATCTCAATGAGATTTTTTACCTGGATAAATAAGGGACTAATAATGTGGCCAGTGATTCATCAATTTTTCCTGAAATAGACTGAAGATGTGAAATCCTCAAACCTGAGATACTCATTACTCTTGTCATCTTTCATCATCATCCTCAGACATCAGAAACAGGGCTGGTGTTTAACTGTCAGAACGAAAACTCTTTTTTAACTTTATTCTAGGTCAGAAACTCTGAGGTTTCACATCAAAGTAAATTCAAATTTAAATTTTATTTTTCACATACACAATCATACACAGTACGACATGAAGTGAAATCCTTATTGCTGTGCAATTCCCGACCAAATAGAAGAACAAAACTAAAGAAATTAAAATGCAAATCAGCAGTGTGCAGATTGACAGTGAACAGTCAAAAATACAGTAATTGAGGTATGTTATTGAAGTGAATTATATGAATTCAGATGAAGCTTCACAATCAGGTGAGATTACCAGGAGGCAAATAGACACAGGAACTGAAAGCTTCAGTCTCCAGATTCATCACAGTCAGTCATGATTAGCAAACCTGATCTAGTTATGCTGCTGTAGACTCTCATCCTCTCTCTGTACCTTTCTGCAGGTGGGCCTCATGGTTTCTGACTCCACCCCTTGTCCTTTACAGAGAGGGTGTCTGCTGTGAGCTGACAGTGTGTAAATGAAGTTTAATTGAATGACATCACAGCATGCACTCTTATCAGACTCAACTCATAGTGACTCACTGATCACTGATTGATTCCTCCCTGGACAGAAGCTGCGTTTCCACTGTCAGACTGAAGGGGGCGCCATCTGTCAGCAGAAAACATGATCAGGACACACACACAAACACACACACACATTTTCCCAGTCTCTGTTGCCTTGGTAACACCCTGGCTGCTGGATGGCCTCCAGGAAATGAAGAGTGAGACGAGATGAGTGGGAGGGAGGTGTGTGTGTGTGTGTGTGTGTGTGTGTGTGTGTGTGTGTGTGTGTGTGTGTGTGTGTGTTCATCCTGGTTTGATTCTAGTCGGAGTTTTTGAACTGAGGTCCTGCAGAGACAAAATTTGTGATGAACGTCTGTATCCAGCAGGGGCGCCTAAGCCATCCACAGAGAGGTGAGGAAGTGCAAGCAGGGTTGAGCAGGTGGAGATTAGTGTCAGGGTGATTCATGATGGAAGGATAGCAGCAAGACTGAAAGGGAAGGTTTAAAGATGGCGGTGAGACCTGATGTGATGAACAGGATCAGAAATGAGTCCATCAGACAGGCGGCTCAGAGTCAGAAAGACTGAGAGAGGCATGCATGTGCAGAGGAAGGAGGGTGGAGGATGAAGATGGAGCTTCAGGGAGGGGGAGAAGAGGAAGAGTTCAGAGGTTCATGGATGTAGTGAAGGACATGGAGAGGGTCGGTGTGACAGGAGGAGATGGAGACGAGCGACTATCAGGACTGCTAAAGGAGGGAGTGATGTGTGTGTTTGTGTGTTAGATCTTATCTCAACACCACTGTTGCCATGGAAACTGCATAATGAGCTGAAGGTGCAGGACATTAGGCAGCTTGTTTGTATGTGTGATTGGTTCTGCTATTGATCCTTGAAGCTCTGTGAGACAGATGAGGTCACCTGACTCACCTGAGCGCGGACCTCGGTGTCTCCAGCCTGCTCAATTCTCATGAAGCTGTTGGTAGGTGGAGGACTGACACCACCTGTAATTCTCCTGTAACCCTGAGGCCCCTCCCTGGGCAACTTAACCACCATCTGCACCCTAACCTGTGTGATCTTAATGTCTTGTATGATGATGTGGGGCAATGCCGGTATTCACCGACACAAATGTAACTGCATGCAATTTTCTAAAAACCAACAGCTTTTGGATTTTAAGAAAATTCCAGGTTTTGCATGACGCTGCACTGTGGTGATAGGAAACAGCTGCCACATACAAAGGTTGTATGTGGCAGCTGTGGAAGTTGTGGAGGTTGAGGTTGAACACCCGTGACTCCCCATCAGCAATCTGCCTCAGAAGAGCTGAAACATGTTTAAAAGCCCAGCTGCTTCAGCTCAGCACTTTAACTAATAATCATCAATAACTAATTAATACTCTGATCAGTGATGGTGCAGTTTCATGTCTCTTTTCTTTCCCCCACACTGTAAATAAAGACGGATGCAGATCGATGTATTCTCTCTAACACCCAACAGGGGGCGACTGCTCTCCTGACCTCTGAGATCAGTTTCAGCTTTTTTGTTTGAGTATAGAGGGTTTTCACCTACGTCACGTTCTGGGCGGTAACCCGCATGCACGGCCATATTGGAGGCACTCGGAGGTAAACACTGAAATGGATCAATGTCCGAAACCACAGAAAAGCTCCTCAAAATGCGTTATAGATGCAAAGGCATACAGAGAAGGACTTGGTCCGCAGGAAAGGGCACAATATTTGTTTAAGGTTTATTGGTGGTGGTGCAGATCCATACGAGTTGGCTCCTTTGTCTTGGATCAATGACGACCCGAAGAGTCTTCTGTCTATTGCGTATCCTGATATCATCAACTACCTGGTTTTCTTGCCAAACCTATACACAGGGGAAGACTTTAAATCTTATAAAAGTTTGGAGGCCTATAACCAGATGGTGTGTGGATGGGTGAGGAAGATGCAGTATCAAGTTATCAGCGACAGATGGCAGTGCTCTGGCCTTGCTGGTCTCTCAGCACTAATTGGTCAGTTTAAGGAAACGCCCCATGGGACCAAAACCTCCAGGAAGCTCAAATGATGGAGAGACTGAGAGAGGATGAAAGAGGAAGTCAAAGGAGCTTGCAAAGAAAAGCGTCTGGACTTCTTTAAGTTGCTTGAAGACGTTTCACCTCTCATCCGAGAAGCTTCTTCAGTTCTAA